AGGGCGGACGGGGTGGGCCACCCGAGTGGCGCGGAGCCGGAGGAGCCCGGGAGCGGGCGGCGGGCACAGCTCCTGGGTAGGGCACCTGAACTTGGACAAGTTGCCGGAGACGCGGGGCGCGGGCGGCTGACGGATTGACCTTCAGAGCGAGGTGAGGGGGGTCGAGGGGAGCCAGAGCGCGGAGGGCAAGGGACCCTCGCCGCAGACTCCCCCGACCCCATCCCATGGGTCTTGGAGACAGGTGGGTGGGTGGGGGTGCCGGCTGCAGAGGGGAGCGGGACCCACTGAGCCGCACCGCCATCCGCCCGCTGTCCGTCCCGCTTGGGACGCCCGGCGCGTGGCCGGAACGGCGCTGCCGGCCGAGCCCGGGAACCCCTCCGGCCCCTCCCTTCAGGCCCGGGCCGGGGACGGCTTCTTAGCGACCTTATGTAACAGGGCGGGAGGGGCTGGGGCTGGCATGGGCCTTCCTGGCCCGGGAGCTGGGAGTCGAAGGGGCGGGAGGCGTCGGAGTGAACTTGTAAGAAGTTTGAGGGATGCGTGGGCCTTGCGCCACCGCCCCCCCACCTCCAGCCACCGAACGCGTCCAGGCCAGGTGATGCTGGGGAGGGTGTCGGGGCAGGGGTGATGTGCGGGGGCCGAGTCTGGCCCAGCCAGGCCCCGCTTGGATGGTCCCAGGGAGTGGGAGGGCCGCAGCGGCGCCACGCCCCGGGGGCTGGGTTGGGGCTGGTGGAAGTACCATCCCTCCTTCTTGTCCCTTCCTCCCTCTCGGAGAAGCCGCCCCTGCCCCGGTCCCCTGGTGTCCCTTAACGCAGCCTTTTTATCTTGCGCCTTATTCCGTCACCCTATGGAACCCAACTCCGGAGCGCACCCTCGGCACGTCCCTCTTTCTACTTTCCCCGGAGTTCCCAGCCACGCGCCCGCCCCGCCCCCCCGCCCGAGTCATCTCCCCCGCCTCCTTCTGGGTCCCGAATCCCGGAAAACACGCCCCCTTCCCCCTCTTCTCAGAGTCCTCGCCGCCCAACCCCAGGCTGTCCAGTCTCCCAAATCAGCGCGTCCTCATCCCCCACCCCTCCCAACCCAGTACCCCGACCTGCCATCGGGTCGCAGCGAGTGCGCCAGCCTCCTGGAAGGGAGTGGGCAGAATCGAGCCGGGCCCCCGCCCCTCGGCCCCCTCCCGGTCCGGAGTTCTGGCTTCACGCACGGCTGCCCCGAGCTGCTCCGGGCTGCGCGAGCAGGTTCGCGCCGCAGCCGCCTGGCGCTCCTGGCCTGCGCCCGGGGGAGGAAGGGAGGGCGACCGGGGCGGGGCTCGTCCGCAAGAACGCCAGCTCTGCCCAGGGCTCGCCTCGACTCCATTCCCCGCCACCCCCTCACCCCGGCGCCCTTCCCCGACCCCGTCAGCCCCAGCCGTCGTCCTCTTGTTCTGGTGACTGTTCAGCGCGACTGTTTCTGGGCTAGAGCGCAGTGCTTTGGTTTAGAGCTCGCTGGGGGAAGTGTCACTTAATTACCGCCCTGCCGCCCATACCCGAACCGAATGAGAGGGTGCTTAGTGGAGCGAGGAAGGAGAGGCAAGGCCGGTGCCGGCCCCCGTGACAGCTCCGGGATGTGGGCTCAGGCCCCTGCACCCACCGGCCAAGATTGCACCAGCCCAAGACCTGGCACTCTTGGGCAGTTGGGGACTGGAGGCTGGTCTCTGGTTTCCTCCGAGGGCCTGGGGCTTCGAGGTCCGCCAGATGTGGATGCGCTCAGATCAGAGCTTCTCAGAGGCCTTCTCTGTGCCCGGCCTGGGAAGCATCCCCCACCCCAGCCCCCCGCCCCTCGCCCCTCCAGGCCCTGCCTTCAGGGAGCTCACGGTCTGGTTAGGAGAGAGCTAGTGATGGAGCTGCAGAATGGCGCTGCAGGACAGCCATAAGAGGCATGGGAAGAGGACGGCTCGCTGCCCCAGGAACCTTGCCTGGTAGCCAGCTGGTATGGTTTTCCCATCCCATGCCTCAATTTCTGCAGCCCTGGACAAAGAGCAACTCGCTTGGCCCCCTTCTCTCAGCCTCCCTCCTGGCTGCTGAGCCTGGGGAGAGCTTGGGAAGCAGAGGGTGTCGTTGAGGGCGGGGTTGTTTCAGGGTGACTGGTGCTCTGCTTCTCCGAAGGGGAGTCGATATTGCTTACAGTTTACAAGGCCTGCTGGTACAGCTGCAGCGCTATTTTGTACTCAGCTCAGCTCTGTGAGGTGGTGCCAAATAGGAACTCAAGTCTCCTGGTTCCTGGTCCCATGGAAGGGACGGGAGTGGGGGGGGG